TCGAAAATTGGTACCGTTAAGTACCGGTATCGATTCCTAGGTACCGGGAATTAGTACCGGATCGATTTAAATGTCAAAGGTACCCATCCCTATGACTGCAATTTCTCTTTATCAGCATATCTTTCTCTGCCGGCTTGTTCCGTGTTTTTGTCGGAGTTGACGCTGTGTACGGGGACTTTTAGTGGCAAACTGGGATTTAATGGAGACCGGCGATTGGCTAATTTGACGCCTGAAGGGTAAAGCTGAAAGAGAAAATAGTTTGTTCTGAAAGCGGTGTATCATGCAGCGGTCTTTTCCAGCATACTAACGGCCTAACGTGAACACATAAATGGCTGTTGCTCTGCCTCTGCTGTTCGGTTTAATATACACCCAAGTAGAAGACATTTTAGCTCTGCTTTAGCCTGCTAGCTAACAGCTGCACCTTGGTGCCTGAATCCCCACCTGCCGTAAATCATGTGACATTGTGATGTTTTAGTCCAAGAAAAAGAGAATATTGCTGTAGAGCAAGGGTGCCCGATCCTGGCCCTGGAAGGCCACTATTCGGCACGCTTTAGAGGGTCTTTACTAATCACCTGTGCAGCAGCTCATCAGCCTCTGCAGAAGCCTGTTAATCACCTGCTGATTGAAATCAGGTGTGTTGAAACAGGGTTAAACTGAAACACGCTGGATCCGGGCCCTCCAGGACCAGGATTGGGCACCACCGATGTAGAGAAACTTGTTGAGATTAAAACTAAGCTATCGTTATTCCGTTTGAAAATATTTATCTCAGGATGAGCTAGGGCCGGGCGATATGACCCAAGATATGTTGAGGATTTCACCTCGATGACGATAAATGGACGAAAACTACGCGTATGCGCAGAAACAGAAGGTGTCCACTGTGGGGCGGTCACATGTATTACGTGGAGTCACATTTTTACGTGACTCCAGGTGGTACGGCTCGTTAAAGGGACCTGAATGTTGCCGACCTACACACATTTTTATTTCTTTATCATCAAATTTATTGACATGGGGAGAATTATGGTAAATGGCCTGTGTTTGATATTGCACCTTCTACAGTTCTGGAACCCCCCAAAGTGCTTTACAACACAGTCATTCACACATTCACACCCTGGTGGGGATGAGCTACGATGTAGCCACAGCTGCCCTGGGGCGCACTGACAGAGGCGAGGCTGCCGAGCACTGGCGCCACCGGTCCCTCCGACCACCAGCAGCAGGCAACGTGGGTTAAGTGTCTTGCCCAAGGACACAACGACAGCGACAAACTTAGCAAGGCTCGAACCTGCAACCTTCCGATTACGGGGCGAGCACTTAACTCCTGTGCCACTGCCCCCCCCCCCCCCCCCCCCCCCCCCCCGCCCAGAGAACTATCCCGATAAAGCCCGGCGTACACTGTGCGACTTTTTCACTCGCAGCGTTCAGCTTCAGCTCTAACTGTACGACTTCCTCTCAGGGCAGATCTCACGAGTCATGTGCTCACACTGTACGACCCAGTTCTCGGATGCGACCTGACTGCTCACACTGTTCGTCTGGTAGCAACACGTCGGACCTAAAAATATGCTAAAAATAGCAGTTTTTACTCAACACGTCAGACTTTTTTGTCGTGTTTTGCCTGTTGTCCTTCGGGAGTGCTGCTGGAGGACACACAGGGATTTATGGGGGTTGGATGAGGAAAACAAAATAAAGAAAGTAAATCGGTGTTTTGTGATCAGTTTAGTTTGACACGAACACGACAAACACGCTTTCTTGACAATCTTTGTGAGTAAAAAAACGCGTAGAAATAAAAATGAACAGCGTGTGTTATTAGGGAAATAGCGGGCGAGCGGTGCTGATGCAGGATTGCGCATGCGCCGTGAGCGGTTCTGGTACTTTTTGGGTCGCAGCTGCTCGCAGCGCCGCTTCAACAGTGCGATACCCTCACGAGGGACGAGCGAAATATTAAACACGCCAGAAGTCCGTGCGAGCTCACGACCGCTGATGGGTAGCTGGTCACGTGGTGTTAATCGCCTCTCGTAACCCCCGTACACTACACGACCGCTCGGCGCAAAACTCGCCCCGATCTCGTGGATTCTCGCACGACTGGAAAATCGGCTCGAAAAAGTCGCACAGTGTACGCCCGGCTTAAGAGTCAGAAATTTCAATAACGACAAATTTCCTATTTATCGCCCAGCCCTAGGACGAGCTAAAAAAAAAGTCATGTTTGTTGTTTTAAAAAGGTTAAACCGATCTTTTCCACCCAGATCGGATCCTTTTAAAGTCACGTGATCAGGCCCAATATCCAATCACTTGACTGGATTGGAGCATCCCTATTTGACATAATTAGAAGTTTGTTTACTTATGTGACAAAAATGTTTCCTCACCGGGTCCACTTGCCAAATAATGACAGTAGTGTCTTTGGAGCCGGTGGCGAGTTTGGTGCCGTCGTTAGAGAATTTGCAGAACCACACTTCATTACAATGCTCCGTCAGAATCTGCTGGGTGTAACAGGGAAACTGCTTCCTGT